TTCAACAGTCCCTTGAACTCAATGGAGTTGATCAGAGCATTCTAGTGTTGGTCAACTAACATTACAGTGGATTATGCAAGTTTAATAAGAATAAAGAAGGCCTTGCAGGGAAGAACATGGCTAGTCCAGAGAGGGGAAGCAAGTCAAACAAAGGATAAAGCAAAACAAAAGAGAAACCATTCAGGCCACTAAAAGGTAGACAAAGAAACTTCATAAATCACCATTATGGCTGAACTGGCTCTGCTCTGCTACAAAATCCATTTTCAGTCAGCTTGGATATACTATTCCAAAACTCTTTCATGTGAGACACTTAGGTCTACATAAGGATAATAATGATACAATGAACCCTAGCAAACAAAGAACTGTGTCTTCTGAGCTGAGGAACACTATGCAGAGACAAGTTAACACTGAAATTGGACCTCTAGAAAGTTACTTAGAAATCAAGTCACCTCAGGGAGCTTTGGTTGCTCAGTCAGTTGAGTTTCCAACTCTTGATTTCGGCTCAGGTCATGGTCCCAGGGTTAGGAGATTGAGCCCTCTGTTGGGCTCTGCGCTGAGCATGGAGCCTGCTTGGGGTTCTCTTTCTCTCTACCTCTGCCCCCTCTCTTTCACTCTAAAAGATAAATAAATAAATAAAATATTTAAAAAAAAAAAAAGAAATTGGGTCACCTCAGTTTTCCCCCATGACTACCAGACAAATATTGTCTCCTGTATTTTCATTTCTACTAAGTGTCATGTTTAACTTGGAAATCTGACAAATACCAAGAACCTTTGCCCCATAGTTCACAGTATTACTGGGAGGAGGAAATAGGACAGAAAGAGGCAAAAGCTGGTGTGTGCTGTGAAGTGCTAAATCATGGCATCAGAAGCCCTCTAGCTCATAGGAGAAAAGGGGACAGGTGGGATTTCCATGTCATGGCCTTTGCAAGGATTGCTCACCCATGATTATCATAAAAGTTTAGTCCTTCAAATGTTGATAAGCAGAGGCCATACTACTTTAAACACTTTCCTTAAGAATTAAAATTAATTGGCTGTACCTGGGTGGTTCAGTCAGTTGAGTGGCTGAGCATCCAACTCTTGATTTTGGCTCAGGTCATAGTTTCATGGTCATGAGATCGAGCCCTGCATGGGAGTGGGGAGACTTAAGGTTTCCTCTCTCTCTCTCTCTCTTTCCCTCTACCTCTCCCCTGCTCATCTTCTCTCTCTCTCTCAAAAAAAAAAAAGAATTAAAATTAATGCACATTGTGAATTTAAAATTAACACCTAAAAACAAACACTAATACATTTTTAACAAATGTGCTCTCTCTATAAAACCAGTCTCTATAATGAACTTCTTTTGTCATAAATAAGCATGTAAGTATTACAATAATATTTTATTAGAATTAGGAAAGGCTTAGTTCATCTCTGTAAACTACCTTCCCAGCCTCTTTCCCTCCCCTACCCTCTTATAACAGGAAAACTGAGATAAAGGTTGAACCCAGACTACACTGTAGATTTCCTGATTCCTAGTCTAAGGCTCTTTTTTCTATTAAATAATCTTTAATAAAATATTTCAAGTATAAGGAGAAGCATAATAATGAATACTCAGATTTTTAAAAAAATGTTAATATCATATGCTATAAATCTTTTTTGGGGGGATAGGAAATGATGCTTTAATGCTTTAAATCTTTTTTTTTAATTTTTAATGTTTTAAATTTATTTCTGAGAGAGAGAGGGAAAGGCAGCATGAGCAGGGAAGAGTCAGAGAGAGAGGGAAGACACAGAATCTGAAGCAGGCTCCAGGCTCTGAGCTAGTAGTCAGCACAGAGCCTGATGCGGGGCTTGAACCGACGAACCGTGAGATCATGGCCTGAGCTGAAGTCAGACGCTTAACCGACTAAGCCACCCAGGCACCCCAATTCTTCAAATCTTTTTTAAAAAGAATTAAATATTATATATTTATATATCAGCTCATTCCTCTAATCCCATTCTCCTACCTCCTTCTCCAGAGATAACCACCATATTGAGGTTGTGGCATATTTCCATAAACCACACCATGTTGCCACAAAAAAAGATGGTCTTCAAAACAGGGAGGAGACCCTTATTGTATGCTTGCATGCAGTTAAAACCTTTGGGGCTTGGCTAGGCATTTCTTTAATTTTAAAAAATGTTTAATGTTTATTTATTTTTGAGAGACAGAGAAAGAGCAGGGAAAGGGCAGAGAGAGACACAGACACAGAATCCGAAGCAGGCTCCAGGCTCCGAGCTGTCAGCACAGAGCCTGACATGGGGCTTGAACCCACGAGCCACGAGATCATGACCTGAGCTGAAGTCAGATGTTTAACCTACTGAGCCACCCAGGCGTCCCTTGTCTAGGTATTTCAAAAAGAAACTAGGGCAGAGCTTAAAGTCTTTTTTAATGATTACCACAAAAGGATCTAGTGAAGTGTCTTACTGTTTAAAGTGAAAAATAAATTAGGCAAATATAAAAATTTAAATATGACTTTTTAAAATCTTTCTCAAGTTAGCATTTCGTATTTGTGAAATCCTGGTTTATAATGACCTAGTATGAACAACCTGTCACTGAACATAGGGAAAGATGGATTAAGCAATTTAACCAGTAATAATAGTTTCTACTTCTGCTTCAAGGTCCAGCTCAAATATAACCATCTTAATGAATCTGCCCGTGATCCCATCAGAATTAATTCCTTCACCAGTCATTTATTGAGGTGCCAGAGCTCTGTAGACACAAAAGCAGATCAGACCCAGTTCCTGCTTATGGCTCAGAAATAATTACACAATAGTTTTTGATAAATGCTCTAATAGAGGTATCCATAAAGGGTTCATGAAGCCTATATCTTTCCTAGAGCAATTGGAGAAGAGGCTATAGACAAGGCAATATTTGAGCCCATTTGCAGGATAAGTAGGAATTCACAAAACTCTATCTTCTGATAAAATGTCATTTCAGGTAGGGAGACATTGAATGTGACGGTATAAAGGATGGTAAGATACTAGTTTTAGAAAGACAACTAGGGATAGACATCAGAGGTAGAAGGATAAGTTAAAAGACTAGCAACAAGCCAAGCAAAAGAGGACATGATTATAGGCATGGGGTGGGAGGGTGAAGGATTTTAACAACATTTAGGAGATAAATTTAGCAGAATTTGATGCTTGATTGTGCAGGAGAAAGAAAGACCGTGGAGGAGTTGGAGTAACTCCCAAAGGCTTGGCTTGGCAAAATGAGTGGGCAGTGAGGCCATTAACTAAAATAAGAAATATCATACGGAAGATAAGAACAGGGCTGAGAAGTATAGTGTGTGTGTGTGTGTGTGTGTGTGTGTGTGTGTGTGTGGTTTCCTCTGAGGCATTTTGAGTTGTAATGAGATTTCTTCTATTAGGCCTTAAACAATGTCCTTTTCTAGGCCAGAAATCACCCCTTCCTCTGAACTCCATAGAATACTGTATACCTTTTTCACATCAAATTATTTAAATCTGCTGTTATCTCTCAATATTTACAAGTTTGTCCCTACCTTAAACCAAGAAGAAAAAGTACTAGTCTTGTTCTCTGTGCATTGTCCTTATCTCAGAGCCTTAGATGCAAAAAGCTTCAGCCAAAGTTTGCATTCTTGAAAAGGGAGCTCCATCAGATAACTGGAAACTGCCAGTTAGCAGTTGTGTGTTACTGACTTATATAAAATATCAAAAGCATTTGGTCTACAGCCCCCCACTTCTAGCTCCTTTTGTGCTTATCTATCTCATCTTCCTCTTAACCCTGCAAGGTAGTTGTATTCCTATTTTACAGATAAAGCAACAGAAGGCCAGAGTGTCTGAATAACCTTCCTGGGGCCACAAGGTTTGCAAGTTGCTTAACCACGATTGGGGCCCGCTTGCTTCACCACCAGAGTTGAGCTGCTCTGTCCTATTTATCACTTGGGCTGAAAAGTGGACCTTCTTTGGCTCACGAAGGAGTAGCACTCTCCGGATCAGGAGAATTGCGAGAGGGGCCTCACCCCTACCATCTCAGGAGAAAGCGCCCCCTCCTAGGAAGGTGCCCCTGTGGGCACATTCAGTGCAGACGTCAGCGCTCGGAGGGGGCCCAAGGGTCCGGAGAGTGAGCCGCTGCCCAGGGACCCAGCATTTTGCAGTATGCACTCCACGAAAGCGCACGGGATCACTCGACCCTTCGCTCAAGCTATGAGCGAGGCCAGGGCTCTGACCCCGAAGCTCGGGGTGGGCGCGCGCGGCCGGGGCTCCCAGCCTGGCCCCTCGCGGGGCTAGAAGTCCTCACAAACACCGGGCAATGGAAGACGGGGGTACAGCCACTGCCCTTGGGACACTGAAACTCGTCCGGTAACTTCCTCCGCAATCCCGTGCGGTGGGCCGGCCCGGCTTGCTGCCCATGTTCAGCGGACCCCAGAACGAGTTCCGGGCGGGGAGAAGCCCTGCCCACGGGCTGTGAAGGGAACCTGCCCCGCGAGGGTCCAACAGGACTTGCCAGGCACTTCCCTCAGACCGCACCGCTGCCTCCGGGAGGCAGGGCCCGGGCCTGCCTCATCGCCTCTCTGGGTTCTCGGTCCCGCCCCACACCTCTAATAGGAACCGGACGGCAGGAAAGGCTAGAGAGGCCAGAGAGAGCGAGCAACAGAACGGTCCTGCGGACCACCCCCACCTCCGAAGTCCACAGGAAGGAAGCAGCGACAGCGAGCTGCCTGCGGCTAAGGCGTGAGGGCTTGGGGCAGTCGGCCGTGGAATGGGCGTGTCCTGGAGCATGCGGGAGGAGGTGCGAAGGGCGAAGGGCAAAGGGCGGTTCCACCCGCGAAGCCCTGGAGCGCTGATTGGCTGCGCGACGTGGAGGCGCGAGGAGGAGGCGTGTCCTCACGTGAGCCCGGCCCGGGCCCATGGTGCGCAGGGAGAGGGGAAAGCTCGTGCGCGAACCTGGCTTTAGGCCCCTCCTTCTCCTCTTTCTGGGGGCAAAGGGTAGGCAGTTTTAGTTTGGACCTTGGCTCTTGCAGACTCCTGTCATGGAGGGGCCTGAATGGGAGTCGCTGGAGCAGTGCTTGGAGAAGTACCTGCCACCCGCAGACTTGAGGGAGGTGAAACGCATTCTCTATGGCAAGGAAACCAGGTCTGGGGCCCAGAGGCTGGGGTGGGGAGACCTTGGGGCCAGCAAGTATGGGTCTGGGGAACCAGGGAGAGTGCTTCAGGATCTGAAGGGCTCTGGGTGGGCAATGAAGATCTGAGTTGATTAGTAGAGACCTTAGGAAGTCTAGATGTGGCAGCTTTGGGCCTCTCAGTGTTTGCACAACCCCCAAGTGACCTTTACAAGCCACTTTTCTCCTTGTTGCCCAGCACCCAGAAGGGAAAAGAACCTGGGAGGGAAAAAAAAACAGGTTTTTACTCTCTGTGACTTTCTCTGTGGCCACCTGGCTCTCCTTCCCTACTTCCAGTGACCATCCTTCTCCCCAGAACTAGGCTTCTACCCTGGGTGTCTGTTTGGGTCAGTGCCTCCAGCCAGAGCCCCCCCCAGCAGTTCAACTGATAGCCCAGTCCCAGCCCCTACTTCCTGCAGTGACTGGGCCTCTGGCAGATCCTTGGAGGTAGAGGCCAACTGGATCTGGTTGGAGAAGGAAGTGTTCTCACTGGCAAGCCACAGGAGTTAGTTACCACCATCAGTGCAAATGTTTTCCCATTCCCAGCCGGTCGTGTGCATCACTAGGACTTTGTGAGATTAGCACACTGCTGGACACTACTTCCAGCACAAAGCTGGAAGATACTTTCCCTTTCACTCTTGTTTTTCTTCAGCTGGCTGCAGTGGAGTTACTGCCAGAGGGCCAGATCTCAGATATAAGAGTGCTAGTGGATGGTGAAAGTAGAACAACTGTCTCTAGGGGTAGGAGTGGTATAGAACTTGGTCAAAAAGGGCTCTTCCTAGCCAAAGAGGGACACCCAGGACAGGATGAACTTCAGGGTCCCTCCTGAAATCATGCTGGACTACTGCTTTCCATCACACCTGTCAAGAGGGTATCTTAATCAAGGGTCTCAGGATGGAAATAGGTTTGTTTTAAAGATGAGGTGGGGGCCCCCTGGGTGGCTTAGTCGGTTAAGCGTCCGACTTTCGCTTAGGTCATGATCTCGCGGTTCGTGGGTTCGAGCCACACGTCGGGCTCTGTGCTGACTGCCAGCTCAGAGCCTGGAGCCTGTTTCAGAGTCTGTGTCTCCCTCTCTCTCTGACCCTACCCTGCTCACACACACACTCTCTCTCTCCTAGAAATTAAAAAAAAAAAAAAAAGATGAGGTGGGCATGTCATTCTAGGAAAAGAAGTAGAGTTTGTGGGTGTTAGGGAGAAATAAAGCACAAGAGTCTTGGGAAAAGAGAAATAAGTGTTTTGTATAGGTGACTGGCTGGAGAACATTCTAGAGATGGGGATAAGGACTCTCTTGCAAGACGCATTTTGTGCGAGCATTCAGATCCTTCAGAGTGGGGAGGGATTAAAATGGGAGCCAGCGTCTATTGGTCAACAACAACTAGGCCTCATCCTGGGGCTTGCCTTACAGTAACTTTTCATGAAAAGGTTCTATTCCACTCAGCAGTGAGCCCTTCCAGGCCTTATCTCTAGGGTATAAACCTTTGTACTTGCTCAGTCCTTGCAGTTGGGTGGGATTTGGCTATGCACAGGATTGTAAACTAAAGATAGAAAATTATTAGTCATTTAAAAACTCTTCTTTCACTTAAACCCCTGCTTACTCTTCATTACCTGACTCAGACCTGGCCACCTCTGTGAAGGCCTGGTGGAGCTTGAGTCTTCAGCCCCTGCTTTGGACTCCTGACTGCGTTCCACACCTCACCTTCTCTCCCAGTTATCTGCTGTGTCAAACACAAACATGATGCTTAGTGAATGTTTGCTAAGTGAATGGGTTTTTGCCTGGGCCAGGCAGATGAAATCCCCAAAGAACACAGACACTCAATTTTAAGACAGCCAGAACCCAGAAGCATTTATTCATTTAACAAATATTTATTGCATGTTTATTTTTGTCTTGGGCACTGGGAGTACAAGGATGAGTAAGCCATGGTTCCCACCCTGTAGTGACTTTCTGTCTTTTGATGGTTGTCCTACATTGTGAGAGAAAGATGCAAGGAGAGCTGGAGAGAGTGTACATGTATGTGCAAGGTTGGGGGAGGGTCAGGAAGCCTTCTCAGGGGCACCATGCTTGGACTGCATCCTGAAGGAGATGGAGAAGTTGGTTTGGAGACAGGAAGCACTCAGGTACCCCGGGTCTAGGCCCAGACACCAGGGAACATGCTCATTCACAGACTGTAGGTGTAGAATGTTGTGAGGAGAAGGCAAAAGTGGCCATGGTGGACCCAGGGGCTCTGTACACCCTGCTAAAGCAGCAGAACCTGTCCTAATGGTGGTGGGAGCTTTCAAAGAATTTGGAGGCAAGGATCATGCCAGTTTCTGGCTTGGACCCTCAGGTGGCTGATTCATCCATCTGATGAGGAGCAGCTTTGGAGAAGGCTACTGAGTTGAATTGGGGGTGCTGTTCAGTTTTCTAGAGCTGCTGTAACACATTACCACACACTGGTGGCTTAAACCAAAAGAAATTTATTCTCACAGCCCTGAAGACCAGAAGTACAAAATCAAGTTGTCTTCAGGGCCATACCTCCAAAAACTCTGGGAGGGAATCCTTCCTGGCCTTCTCTAGTTTCTGGTGGCTTCTTATATCCCTTGGCTTGTGGCAGAATCACCCCAATCTCTGTATCTGTCTTTACATGGCTACCTCCTCTTCTCCCCGTGTCTCTCCTCTGGGCATCTCTGATAAGAATAACTGTCACCGGATTCAGGGCTCTCCTGGATAATTCAGGATGATCTTATCTTGAGATCTTTAGTTACATCTGCAAATACCCTTTTTCCAAATAAGGCTCTTATTCACAGGTCTGGGTATTAGGATGTGAACATATCTTTTTTTTGCGGGGGGGTGTCACAGTTCAACCTACTACAGGGACTGTGCAGAGGTGGTCCTCATGGGGGGAAGCTGGGCTTGGGACTGTCCTCCTTCTAAGCGGAAGACTGGGTGCAGAGTGGGAGGGGCCCTGGGTGGGTTTCTGGAGAACCTGCTGTTAAAGGAATCAGAAGAAATGGTGACTTTGCATGACACTCCAGAGGTGAGGAAGCAGGGATGGGGGCCTGAGGCAGGTATCAAGGACACTGAGCAGGATAGGGACAGAGTATCTGATAGTAAGGGAAGTCTAGAAGGATGAAGACAAGTGTTTGAATCTCTCCCACTGCTAAAGCCAACCAGAAGGCCAGTGGCAGTTTGGAGTGGGGGAGTGGGCCCCAGGGAGCAGGGGGCTGAAGAAGGTGTGGGAGGTGAGGGCTTCAGGGAAGCTCCCTATGAAGGGGAGGTGAGGAGAGCAAACGAGATAACCAGAAGGACCTACGGAGAGTGTGCCTCCCTACTTAAAATTTTTTTTTCTCTGTTATTTATTTTTTTAATAGGAGAGACTCAAGTAGCTTTAATAGTGGATGTGGTAGGTCTGTAGGAAACAGGGTGAGGTGTCCAAGCTATGCATATTGTTAAGTAAAAAAGGAGTAAGTGGAAGAACAGAATACACAGAAGGACACCAACGTAGTTTACACACATTTAGGAAAATATTGGAAAGGGACCTAAAACATTAAGAGGGGTTGCCTCTGAGGTTTGGGACAGGAGCTCAGGGGTGGGATGGAGAGAGGACCTCATTTTTCCCTTGATATCATCCTTTCCCACTGTTTGATTTTTTTTCTCCCACAAGCATGTGTTTCTTTTGTAGCAAAGCTCTAGTTTAATTATTTAAAACGCTGATGGTAAACGAGCTATTAGTGGGGAAAGATGAAGTTCCAGAAGCTAGAGGTTGCAGAGGAGGCAGGAGCTGGGCTCCCTCAGGCCATGTCTGCCCTGACCCTGGGTTGGGGAGGGGGGGCGGTGGGGGAGGGGCCTGGGAGGGTATGGTGGGGCTGAGCAGGAAATGATGGGCTTTACTCCTTAACATTAGAGGTAAGGCCATGAGGGGCCTTTGTAGCAGGATAAGGGGTAGAAAGGCAGAAGGTCGACTCTAGGGACCAAGAGACGGTTTTGGGCAGCACGGAGCCTCTGTGAGGTTGTGATTCATCTGGTCTCTGCCCCCACCTGAGCCATAGCTGGTCTATGTCCCAACACATCCCTGTGCCAAGCCTTTGGTGAGCATATGACTTGTTTATGGAATGGGACTCGAGGGTCTGTTGGGTTCTGCAAGACTAAGGGGGGGGCGGGACCTAGTGATGGACCACCTGGATAACAGGAGGGTAGAGGTAACTAGACAACAGGGGAGTGCTGAGAAGAGACAGAGCCCTGAAGGTAGCTCCATGTGAGGATGAGTGGCCTGGCCTACACCATCTCAAGCCTAGGAGAATGAGTGTCCACAGGGAGCTGGATGGGGGCAGGGGACAGCACTCAACATAGTAACAAGGCAGGGAGGCTGCATATCACAGAGTAACGGGGCTCATGGTGGTGGAAGGACGGGGAGAGAGCCAACAGCTGTGGGCGGTAGATGAGGAAAGACGGAGGGTGAGGGACATGTGTCATCCAGGTGACAGCTACAGATGAGCTTGCAAAGGTGAGACAAGATCTCTTCCATCTGTTATCTTCCCATGATGAGACCCAGACTGAGGATGGGTCTGGCAAGATGTCTCCCAAAGGATGGTCCTCCTTCCCCAGCCTGTGGCCTAAAAGGAAACAGATACACAGAGCCCTTCTTCTCCTGCCCCCAGGGTGACTTGTCCTGGGGCTGAGGTCTGTAGGGGTGGGGAGTCCTTTGCCTGGGGGCAAGAGGACTGTGCCTGAGGCAGTCACAGCAAGGGGAGGCACGGTGTGGGCACTGCTGCTATTTCTAACCTGCTAGCAAACGGAACTCTGACTAGTTGAAAAGCAGGCTGATTGTCAGGGGCGGAACCCAACTTGAAGCTGTCAGGGCCATCACATGGAAACCGCCTGGCAGGGGGCGGTGGCAGGGGGCTTGGGCTGACAGGGCTGTGATTTTGAAAGAAACGTCTTTAAAAAAGTGATTTAAAGTAGGAGAGAAATATTATTATTAGATAATGGCTGTCAGGTTATTTTTTGATGTGTTCTCTGAGTATTTCATAACCATCTCACCCCTAGATGGTAGGGCCTTCCTGGCCAGAGGCCATGTCCCATGCTCTTGCGGGTTTCACCTCAGAGCACAGCACCCAGCCAGCATCAGGAGGTGTTTGCCATTTGGCCAGTGGTCACTTAACTGGGAGATTTTATAAATAATCCACTTGCTTTTGTTAATAAACCACAAACTAGGGTGAGTGCCTGGGCTGTTGGTCTGGATACCTGGGCCTCACCAAGCCCACCCAGCACTGGGCATAGAACTGCCCCCAGTAGGAGCAGCAGCAGGACAGGGTGGTGGGGCTCACCAGAGACTGGTAACCCTTAGTGGTGAATGGTCACAGGACCCTCCCCCATGCTATCAGTCCCCTAAGCACTGTTCTCAGCAGCCACTATGTCTTATCACAGCCTGCCCCAGGCTCAGTCAGCATAGCCTTCTGAATCTAGTCTACAAACATTTTGGAAATCCATTGCCTCTCCTCTTCTGTGCTGACTGCTGGGACTAATCCCACTCTGAGGTCAGTAGCTCTAAAACACCAGCCTCTTGACCAGTCATCCTGCAGCCCCCGCTCTGTTCCCCTGCTTTGCCAGGCCTGAAGACTATGGGTACTTCCCTAGGGAAGTCCATACTCAGCATACTGTCCGTTCTCCACCAGGCAGGGCCCTCCCTCCTCCTGGCCCCCACAAGTGGCCCCAGGCCCTGGGGTGATCTGTGTGCCTTCCTACCAGACACCCCTGCCTCCTCTCTACCAGATAGATGAATATGGGGGGGTTGGAGGTGAATTTTAAATTCAGTAGACCTCATGCAAATTGTCCCCCTTCTACTTTCCTGCCCATTTAGGAAGCTCGATCTGCCTGGAAGGCCTTTTGAAGCTGCCTCTGAAGGGGACTTTGAGCTGCAGGGATATGCCTTTGAGGCGTCAAAGGAACAGCTGAGGCCACCTCGGACCGTGCGCGTGGGACTTGTTCAGAACCGAACTCCCCTGCCTGCCGATGCCCCTGTGGCAAAACAGGTGCAGCCTCTTTTGACCATAAATACACAAACGGAGCTGTGGCTCATTCTTTGTTTTGAACACGTCCACAGTCTCTGGGTCACTGCAGGTCCACTGCTCACTGCAGGTCTGTAGGCACCCCAAGTGTCACCTAGATGCTTCTGCCCTGGCCACCACCTTCCCTGCAGCCCGCATCTCTGGCTCCTCTTTCTCTTCTGGCTCCTACCCTCTCTCTGCCTGCCCCTCCATGTCCTCTCCTGTGATTGATCTGAAGTTCCATTTATCAATTGAGAGGGTGCCCTTCTTTTTGGCTCACGCTGTCTCTCTGCAACTCCGCCTCTCAGTCTCTTACCAGAAGGGTACCTGCTGGCACACACCAGTCAGGACCTGTCTGTCCATCTGCATGTTCCTCTGCCTTGATCCTGAGAGCAGGGACTCACTGAATCCAGATGTCGGTCAGCTGATGGTGTCTCAGGTGGCAGGAATATGATACGCATTTCCTTATGACCTTACAGTTAATATAAATGTGACGGCATCTTGTATGTCCCTAAAGAAACGTGTTATCACAGACACAGGGGATTTGTTGTATATACTTCTTCACAGCATTTCTCCAGCTGCTGAAGCTTTTAAGAGTTTCTCTGCAGAGATTTCCTGGGGATACAGCATGCCTCAGAGCTCCTAGGGATTCTCAAGAAAAGGCCATTGGATTCCAGGTCCAGCACTGTGAATATGCTTCCTCAACCATCCCAGACTGTCAGGAGCAGGGTCACTGTCTCTCCCCTCCACAACAGCACACTTTGCACACTGTCAGCACCTAGCCAATATCCACAGAGCCTTGATGTGCACTTTCACAGGAGAGAGCATTATAAAGTGTGGGTACTCTCTGGGTTTTCAACCTGGTTCTTCTGGTCTTTCTATGAACAAACACTTCCAAACATCTCCTGGGAGCCAGGCATTGTGCTGAGGACACTGAGAAGATGAAGACCCTTTCCTCCTGCCCCTGAGGAGCTCATGGGGTGATGGGAATGACAGACAGTGGAGGAATACAACAGCACAGCAGGAACAGCACCACTAAAGGGACCCACCAGGGAGTCCCAGGCACCTCTTGATGCTCAGCCCTTTGCTGGGAGAGTCACTCTGGAGGACACACAACATGAATAATCATCCCAGGAAGATTGGGTGGAGTGGGGAAGTACATTCCTGATGGGGGACACAGCTAGGAAATGGGATCCATTCATTTGATGATAAGATACACGTAGGAAAATGGAAGTGGCAGGACAACAAGGCATTCCAGAAGCCTCAAGAGCAGGGTGGTAGAAAGTGGACTGTGTCCTAAGGCAAAAGGAGCAGTTAGCCCAGGGGATGGCCATGGTGTGCACTGGGTGTAAGGCCCTCTTGTAGTAAGTAGCAGACAAGCTTATGCACTCCTTTAAGCAACTCCTTAGGGCAGTGGCAAGACAGTCTTCTTCCCGTTCTCCAGGTAAAGAAACAGGCTCTGAAAGGCAACATTGAGTGTATGGAACCCTGGACCCTCTGCACCTCCACCTTTTCCTGCAGATTTTGGACTTGATGAGAGTAGGGTATATCAGAACCCCCCCACCCTACTTGTCCTCTTGCAGCTGCCTAGGTTGGGGTCATTCCACATACATGAGGGTGAGTTCTAAAAGTGGTCTCAACCAGGGGCACCTGGCTCAGTTGGTTAAGTGTCCAACTTTTGCTCGATTCGTGATCTTACAGTTTGTGAGTTCAAGCCCTGTGTCAGGTTCCGTGCTGACAGTGTAGACCCTGCTTGGGATTCTCTCTCTCCCTCTCTCTCTGCCCCTCCCCCACTTGTGCAGCACACTGTCTCTCTCAAAATAAATGAATAAACTTGAAAAAAAAATGATCTCAACCAATAAAAGAAAATGGATTCTAATCCTTGCTTTTTGAATTTCCAGGTCACTGCCCTTCACAGACGCATAGAAGCCATAGCAGAAGTGGCTGCCATGTGTGGAGTGAACATCATCTGTTTCCAGGAAGCATGGAGTAAGTCTGTCTTGGGGAACTTTCTCTGCTGCCTTCAGACAATAGTGTGTTATCTCCATGTCACCAAGAGGACTTCCTGATTTCTGAAAATCTTTTCCTTTCTTATCTATGGAAAGATTATTTTGTCAACAATACCAGAAAGCCAGAAATTCTGGCCTCCCTCCCTCTCATGCACCCCAGTCTGTTGTCTGGTCCTGCCATTTCTTCCTTTCCTCCCCACCTTCTTTTTTTTAAGTTTATTTTATTTTATTTTGAGAGAGAGAGCTAGCAAGCAGGGGAAGCGCAGAGAGAGAGAGAGAGAGAGGGAGAGAGAGAGAGGAAGAGAGAGAAAATCCCAAGCAGGGTTTGTGCTGTCAGCATGGAGCCGGATGTGGGGCTCGATCACTCGAACTGTGAGATCATGACCTGAGCTGAAATCGAGAGTCGGACACTTAACTGACTAAGCCACCCAGGTGCCCCCTCCCCACTTTCTCACCACTGCCCTAGTCAAAGGAGCCATCAGCTCACATCTTGGCTTCTGTAATCGCCTCTAGCTCATCCAGTGTATTCTCCACTTGGGCCCCTTCTCAATGGCTCTTCACACCTTCTAGGAAAGATCTTTACAAAACTCAACTCTGCACCACTTAGTCTGTTCTTTCCACCACCTCTGTGGCCCCATCTCTGCTGGGGTCTGCTCTCACCTCCTTAATCCTTCAGTCCCCTACAACACCCTCTTCCTCCTCCCAGGCCACTGTAGCAGCTGCTCCCTCAGCCTGGCCCTTGTCTACCTCTCCCTCCCACTCTCCTTGCCTTATAGACCCTATGCAACCTTCACATAGAAGCCCAGAGCCCACCTCCCTATCTAACATTACACCCAGGTTACATACTCCTGGTACCATGTACCTTTCTTTTTTCTTTGTCAAAGTTACACAAGCTTATGATTGGAAGTCAAATGGTCTACGAGGTCTGTTACCAAAACATAGCTGTCCTCCTCCCCAGAGGCAACCACTTTCTACTCTTAGCCGGTTCTTTAGGAGTCTACCTCTGTGTTGCTGCTTCCTAATTTTTCAGTTTTGCACCATCTATTAACTTCCCACTGTGGAAGAAGACAGCATTAGTTCCTTGCCTCCTCTGCCTGCTCTGTTCACACATACCCTTCCTATCCTCCATCTGTTCTCTGCCAAACCATTTTCTAGACTTAGATTTCTTTCCCTGAATAACTTTCTGTTTTCCCTAGAATTTACATTGTTTTCTGCACACCTACCCCAAATTCTACCCCAAACTTTCTTCCAGCTTCCTTAGACATGTGAAGCTGCCTACTGGTTCCATCTCCTCCTTTTTTTAAATTTTAAGTTTTTGTTTTAAGTCCAATTAGTTAACATACAGTGTTGGGTTAGTTGCTGGTATAAAATATAGTGATTCAGCAGTTTCCATACATCACCCAGTGCTCATCACAACAAGTGCGCTCCTTAATGCCCATCACCTATTTCACTCCATGTTCCCAACCTGATTCCATCTCCTTGAAGGAAGGTGTCCCCAGAGCCTTCTAGCAGCGCTAGTCTGAATTAGCTGGCTGCACAGGCCTCATCCTGGTGATTTCCCTTCACCATCACGCTGGGGAGTTCCTTTGTCTTGCTTTTGTGCTCTCCTATCCCACATCTTCCTCTTTCTTGCTTTGCTCCCTCTTTTTGGTTGAGTAGTTTTCTGAGAAAGAACACAAAGGAGATCTTGCATATCTGAAAATATGTTCCTCCTACAACTTGCTTCATAGTTTGGTTTGGTGTCAAATTCTGGGTTAGAAATACTTTTCCTTGAGAAGTTTGTACACATTGATCCATTGTCTTCTGATTTTTGGTGTTATTGACTAGTCTAAAGCCATTTTGACTTATGACCCATTGCATATGATCTGTTTATTTTTTTCTAGAAGGTTATAGGATATCCTCTAGTACTTTGAAGTTGCATAATGATATGCCATTGTGTGTATCTATTTTTTAATTTTTTAAATGTTTTTATTATTTTGAGAGAGAGAGAGAGAGAGAGAGAGAGAGAAAGAGAAAGCATGCAAGCAGGGGAGAGGCAGAAAGAGAGGAAGAGAGAGAATCCCAAGCAGGCTCCACCCTGTCAGCTAGATCCCAAGGTAGGGCTCAATCTCACAAACTGTGAGATTGTGACCTGAGCCAAAATCAAGAGGCAAATGCTCAACTGACTGAACTACCAGGTGCTACTGTGTGCCTATTTTAATCCATTATTTTAGGAACTCAGTGGGATCTTCCAGGCTAGAAATTTGGGTCCTTCAGATCTACTGTTAATTAGTGATTTTCTCCCTTTTTTCTTTCCTCTCCTGATACTCTTACTATTAGGATGCTAGAACCCTGGACTGGATCCATAATTTTCTTAAAGTTTTTTTTAAATTTATTTCTAGGAAAGAGAGAGAGAGAGACAGCGTGAGCAGGGGAGGGTCAGAGAGAGAGGGAGATACAGACTCTGAAATAGGCTCCAGGCTCTGGGCTGGCAGTCAGCACAGAGTCTGACGTGGGGCTCGAACCCATGAACCGTGAGATCATGACCTAAGTGAAAGTTGGACACTTAACCGACTAAGCCACCCAGGCGCCCCTGGATCCATAATTTTCTTAAGTATTTCCTCCTATTTTTCATCTTTGTCTTTTTGCTCAGTTTTCTGGTAGATTTTATTTGTCAGCCTTTTTTATATGGTCTTTTGTTTCCGCTGTCATATTTTGAATTTACAAGAGTTCTTTTGCTCTGAAAGTTCCTGTTTTATGACATCCTGTTCTTATTTTATAATTGCAATACTTTCTCTTATCTCTGAGGATATTAGGTAGCATTTTTTTTCTCCTTGCCAGTTTCCTACTTCAAATTGGTCTTTTTTCCCCCCTTCTGATTGTGTGTATTTTAAGAATTGGGGGTTAAAAAGCTGCTTATAAGCTCTGAGTTTGTGGGAAGGGCTCCTCCCCACTGAACTTCATGATAGGATGACTTGGTTTAGCTGTTTGTTAGGTAATCCCCCATATTAGTATCTTTGGGTCATTGTTTTTCAGGCTGGTCAGAGTCCCAGGAGAAGATTCTTTTATCTCCTGCCAAGAAAAGAAAGAGGATAGGGGTCCAGTGTGCTGATGTTTACTGAATCCCTCTGTTTTTGACGCTCTGCTCATCTGCATCTGTCCTCACTTTCCCAAGGCCAGAGGCCTTCTGTTTACTTCCTTCAGAGAGTTAACCTCTAGCCCTCTGCTGGGGTGGGAGGGACACCTGCCGGCCTCATGCAGTAGAAGGGATCTGGGCTTCTGCCTGCTTCTTAAGCAGACTTTTGACCAATTTTTGTTTGCCATCCCACCTCCCTGCTTACCCACCTTCAGAGCCATGTGGTACCTCTGACCCCTAAACTTTCCAGGGGTATGGTGTGGAGAGTGGCATGTTTCCCAGCTTCCTCTACTGATGGGAGCCTGAATTTTCTAGGTCTACCATGGTATCTACTCTCAACCCTCAGCTCACCAGCCTCCCAGGTTTTCTTGCTCTAGTCCTTCTCTCAGTGCTTTATCCTTGTGGGCTTATACATTTGTATAAATATCCCTTTCCTGTCATTTGGTGAGGTTGCAGGAAAGAGCAAAGGTGTGTATCCAGTCTGCCACCTGTACCCAGAAGTTCATCTCATTTTTCATGTACCTCATTACTTGTACCTTAACTCATTGGTACAGCACTTTCAGTTTCTCTCCCTCTTCCATTAGACCATAAGCTCCATGAGGTCATTGTCTGTATGGTGCCTGTTTTTTTTTTTTCCCATTCCAATCCCACCCCTATTATTTTAATGTTAAAAATATTTAATTGTAGGGGCGCCTGGGTGGCTTAGTCGGTTAAGTGTCCGACTTTCGCTTAGGTCATGATCTTTCGGTTCGTGGTTTCTAGCCCTGCGTCGGGCTCTGTGCTGACTGCCAGCTCAGAGCCTGGAGCCTGTTTCAGTCTGTGACTCCCTCTCTCTCTGACCCTCCCCTGCTCATGCTGTCTCTCTCTCTCTCCTAAGAAATAAGCAAAAAACATTAAAAAAAAATTTAATTGTAAAATATATATAAAATAATATTGATCACTTTAGCCATCGGTAAGTGTACAACTCAGTGACATTAAATACATTCACAAAGTCATATAAACATCACCACTATCTACATCCAAAACTTTTCAACATCTCCAACAAAAACTCTGTGCTCATTTAATAATACCACTCAATTCTATACCTCTGATAACCTCAGTTCTAACTTTCTGTCTCTGTGAATTTGAGTACTCTAGGGATCTCAAGTAAGTATCTGTCCTTTTGTGATTGACTTATTTCACTTAGTATTATATTTTCAAGGTCCATCCATGTTGTAGCATGTGTCAGAATGTCCTGCCTTTTTCGTGGCTGTGTCATATTCCACTGTATGCATAGACCACATTTTGTTTCTCTATTCCCTCACCTCTGTTTTATCTTTAATGAACAATCCCTGCTACATGATGGACATTAAAAATGTTCATTAGATGGTTTGACCAACTTCTTCCCTTTTTTGGATCTGGAAAGCTCCCACTCATCCATCCAGGCCTAGCACAGACACCCGCTTCTCTGGGGGACACTGGGAACCCTCCTGCATAGAACTGAGCACTCTGTGTTATCATGCAGCCACACAATGTTATAATTCAGTCCCCCCCATCTGGGCTGGCAGCTCCTGATGGCAGGGCCAGATGTAAATTTGGAGTGCTGGTTCAATAAATAGAGAACCATCTTCCCCTCTAATTTGAAAGCTGCAGTTGGACTTTGCAGCCAGCCTCCCCCAACCTCCATTCCACATCCTTCTTTGAAATTTTTGTTTACGGTGGTTGTGTAAACAGGAAAAGGAGCCATTAAAATAGAAATGGGGAAATTTGGGAGAGCTTAGCAACCTGAAATGAAATCAGAAAGGGAGGTTTTATTCTCTTGGGTTTTTTGAATCTCTCCTAATGTGCTGAAAGCTGAGAATAAATGGTCATTAAGGACCTTTTTTGTCATTAACAGCTTTTTGGTTGACTTCCTTAAAATAGTTTATTCCCTGTTCCTGAAGGCCAGCCTGGAGTGCCTTGTGTCTGGTGCCAAGGCCCCTGGGGCTGTTGCTGGCAGAACCCGGAAGACTGAGACAAGTGGTGATGCCACTGGTAGCCTCTTCACATTGGCACCATTCTAGGACCAGCCATCCTGTGACTTAAAGGAATTCGGAGACTGATGCTTCTTTCTCTTCTTTCTCCTCTGCTTTGCAAGGATATGGGGACCAGGTGCCTATTACTGGGCCCATGGCCCTCATTTGGGAAAGGTTGGCTACAATGAGTAGCCCCAAACAAACCACATACCCCATGCTGTGACACTTAAGTCACGTGCCATTTACATTACACAGTTCAGAGCGATGGGAACAATAGCAAACATCTGGAAACTTCCTTTAGACTAATCCCTCTGAAAGAAATGGACCTGGATTATTGGAAGGAGGAAGGTCTAAAAAGCACATGGAATTGGTTCAAAGAATTCAATACTCCAAAACAAGAAGAAAAAGACACATGGCCTACTAGGAAATGGGCAAAGGATAGGAACAAGGTTGCCTGAAAGGTGAACACAGAAATGATAAGAGAAATGCATTAAAAAAATTTTTTTTTACATTTTATTTATTTATTTATAATAGTTTTTATTTATTTTTGAGACAGAGAGAGACAGAGCATGAGCAGGGGAGGAGCAGAGAGAGAGGGAGACACAGAATCTGAAGCAGGCTCCAGGCTCTGAGCCGTCAGCACAGAACCCAATGCTGGGCTCAAAGCCATGAACCGCAAGATCATGACATGAGCCGAAGTCGGACACTTAACCGACTGAGCCACCCAAGCGCCCCTACGTTTTATTTATTTTTGAGAGACAGAGTGAGGCAGAGAGTGAGCAGGGGAGGGGCAGAAAGAGAAGGAGACACAGAATCCAAAGCAGGCTCCAGGCTCTGAGCAAGCGTTCAGCACAGAGTCCAACGTAGCTCAAACCCACGAACTGCGAGATCGTGACCTGAGCCAAAGTTGGATACTTAACTGACTGAGCCACCCAGGTGCCCCTGAGAAATGCATATTTTTAATCATGGTGCTATACCAATTCACACCATCAGACTGGCACACACTAAAGAATATGGCTGAGGCTGTGAGCTATGGAATGGACATAGCCTGAAATCCCATGCCTGTCCCCACTGCAGCCCTTGCCGCCCCCACAAAGGCAACTATCATTTTGAACCCAGTATGTGTAGTGTTCTGTGAATTGTTATTACTTATATAGGTACCTGCTGTTTGAAAAATAAAAGGCAGACAAAAATCAGTTTATGAATTTAATGAAATTTCTTATTTAATTAGCTCCCTGGTGGCATCTAGCCAGAGAACATGGGAATAATGCATTTATCTTAGGGGAGCGTTTAGCCTATCATCCAGCAGTTCCCAGACTTCTTATGGGGTCATTAAGCGAGTGGCTTTTCTTGGTCCTGAAGAACCCTCTCTATCTGTGTGAGGAGGAATGTTTCTGTGGTGACATGCCCAGGGTCCCAGTGCCATCCTCAGTGACCCTCTGATACTTTCCCAAGGGAGTCTTGGCTGTGCTTCTACCAACCCACAGATTGGCTAGCAGCTCAAGATCTGCAGGAAAATATACATAAGAACAACTTTACTGCTTTAACCATTTTTATACTGTCCAGTGGCACTAAGCACGTTCACACTGTTGTGCAGCCATCCCCACCATCCATCTCCGGAACTTTGTCATCTTCCCAAACTGAAAGTTGGTCCTTCCTCACCCAGCCCCTGGCAATGACCCATTCTAATTTCTGTCTCTATGAATCTGACTGTCCCAGTACCCCCATATAAGTGGAATCATATAGCCTCTTGTCCTTTTATGACTGATTTCCCTTAGCATAACATCTTTGAGGCTCACCTGTATTATAGCATGTGTTGGAATTTCCTGCTTTTTAGGGTGGAATAACATTCCACTGTATGGATATACACCAGTTTGGTTTATCCATTCATCCATCACTGGATACTTGCGTTACTTGCATCTTTCAGTTGTTGTGAACAGTGCTGCTATGAAATGGGTCTGCAGATATCTGTTCAAGTCCCTGAATTGCGTTTTTTCCCCCTAAATTCAATTGTTTTTAAGACTGTCATAAAGAAATGTGGCCCAGCCCTTTGTGTTGCTACGAAGCCTAGAAGGGTTAGGGTCTGCCGGGCACCCGTATTCAGTGACAGGACCCGGAAGCTAGGCTGAGACACCCCGGAGCCTTGTTATCTTGGGTGGATCCTCAGCTGCTGGCCGTGAGGAGCTCCCCATCAGAGGCCACGAGCTTTGGATGTGATTCTGACTTTGTCCTCTTCACAGCTATGCCATTTGCTTTCTGTACGAGAGAGAAGCTCCCTTGGACAGAATTTGCTGAGTCAGCAGAGGACGGACCCACCACCAAATTCTGTCAGAAGGTTGGACATTAACTGCTCCTCTGACAGCAGCTGCCAAACATATGCAGGTCACAGAGCACAACCACAGCTGCTGGGTGTGGCCCTTCACCATGGAAAATGCACCATTTGGTCCTTGTTTTGCCAGATAAGATTAGATAAGACTATTTGCTGCCCTTTTTTTAGTGTACTTTCACTTAAAATCATAGAATTTCAGAGCCAGAAGGGCCCTTAATGGCTTTTTCAGGTGAAGGAGTCGCAGCCCAGGGAGGGGTGATCTTCCAGGAGGGGTTCCACAGCCAGCAAGTGGCAGAGGTGGCCCTCGGGGACCAGAGATGAGGTCAACTCCTTGTTCTGACCTCTGCTACTGACCATGCTGTTTGCCTGCATTATGGAAGCTTTTCTGTGTGGCCTATCTCATCACTACAGAGATTGGTTTTGTTAAAACATTATAATGTCGTATGACCCCAGTGATATGAAATGTCCAGAAAAGGCAAATGAATAGAGGCAGAGAGCAGATTAGCGGTTGTCAGGGCCTGGGTGGGGAAAGGGGATGAGTAGTTACTACTAATGGAATTTCCATTTGGGGGTGATGAAAATGTTCTAAAATTATAGATTGTGGTGGTAATTGCACAACTCTGTGGATATACTGAAAACCACCCAACAGCATACTTTAAAAGGATTAATTTTATACCATGTGAATTCTGTCCTAATAAAGCAGTTATCACACACACACACACACACACACACACACACACACACAACCCCTAACACTAGAGAGGTTATGAATGATGGCATCCTTATTCTCACTTTGAACAAAGCAGTTTTTTCACTTTTCCATGTCCCATTTCAGATTTCATATATATATTTAGGGGCTTTTTTTGAGCAGCACTGTAATCATAAAAATGATGCTGTCAAAACTGGGTTGCAGTTCCAAACATCAGTGTTTTCATGCTATTGGAAAAAATCTGTCCTCCACCAGGTTGTTGATTCTGTGCTGCGGATAAAAGAGGAGGGGACTGGTTAAGTGTAATTGTAGATGACACGCTTGAACCAGGGCCAGCGGAAGAGGAAAGGGGGAGTGGGGATGAGAGCTGGTGCCAGGGGACACCTGTCTGCAAGAGGGGTCCAGGACCCACAGACACCCTTCTGTAGCTCAGAACAGCACCTCTGTCCACTGTACCTTTCCCCTCTCCATCATTAGAGCCAGAGGTAGTGACAGGCTAGTTAGAATTGAGGAGAGATGACCATCTGGAGCTACTCATTATAATCGTCACCAGGTCCTGATGTTCTTATTTGAGATGAAAGGAATTCAGTATCAAAGAGTTTGGTTTGGTTTGGCTTGGTTGCTTATAGATGAGAAGTATGATGAAAATTCTTTTTGTGTGTGTGGTAAACAACACATAAAATTTACTATCTTCACCATTTTTAAGTATAGTTCAGTGGTGTTAAGTACATTCACATTGTAACAATGTGAAACAGATTTCCAGAACTTTTTCATCTTGTAAATCTAAAACTCTGTACCCATTAAACAACTCTCCTTCACCCCCACCTCCTGGCAACCAGTATTCTACTTGCTGTTTCTATGAATTTGACTACTTTAGATACCTCACAGAAGTGGACACATTCAGAATTTGTCTTTTTGTGACGGGCTTATTTCACATAGCATAATGTCTTCAAGGCTATCTGTGTCAAGGACGACATCAATGTCATTCATGTGATGATAGGATATCCTTCCTTTTTAAGACTGAATAGTATCCCACTGTATGGATGTACCACATTTTTTTTATTATTATTTTAAAAATATTTTTATTTATTTCTGGGAGAAAGAGAGAGACAGCGTGAGCAGGGGAGGGTCAGAGAGAGAGGGAGATACAGACTCCGAAACAGGCTCCAGGCTCCGAGCTGGCAGTCAGTACAGAGCCTGATGCGGGGCTTGAACCCACGAACTGCGAGATCATGACCCAAGAGAAAGTCAGACGCTCAACCGACTAAGCCACCCAGGCACCCCCTTTTACCACATTTTAAAAAAGATTTTATTTTTGAGTAATCTCTACCAAACGTGGGGCTTGAACTCACAAACCCGAGATCAAGAGTCACATGCTCTACCAGCTGAGCCAGCCAGACACCCCGGATATACCACATTTTATTTATCTATTCATCCATCAGTGGATTTTTGTGTTGCTTCAACTTTTTGGCTCTTCTGAAAAGTACTACTATGATCATCGGTGTGCAAATATGTCTTCAAGACCCTACTTTCCATTCTTTCAGATATGTAACCAGAAGTGGGATGTCTAGATCATATGGTAGTTCTATTTTTAACTTTTTGAGAAACTGCCATATTATTTTCCACAGCTGCTGCACCATTTTACATTTCCACCAACAGTGCACAAGGACGACAATTACTCTTACTTAGCTAAGCTTGGGCATCGGGACAACACTGACATTCTTCCAAAAGAACAAATAAAAATGATAGATAGCTCTGAACCAAGTCTAATTATTTAGTAGGATCATTTAATTCTTCAATAAAAACAACTGTGACAGTTGATTTAAAAGTAGGACTCTGCTCTATCCATCATTCTTCCAGCTGGCAAAGAAGCATGACATGGTGGTGGTATCCCCCATCCTGGAACGAGACAGTGAGCATGGGGACATTTTGTGGAACACAGCTGTGGTGATCTCCAATTCTGGAGCCGTCCTGGGGAAGACCAGGAAAAACCACATCCCCAGAGTGGGCGACTTCAATGAGGTGAGCTGCCCCCCTGAGAAAGCCAGCTCAGCCTTTGTGGATCTTTCTGTGAGCAAAACTCTGTGTTGAATCATGTCATGTCACACAATGCTGGAACGCTGTGTGGCTTCAGTGCTGCCGGGTATGCGTGCCACCATTGTCCTGCGTCATCACATGGACAGATGGGATTCTGGTGGGAGTCCTGGGTGAGTCTCAAACACAAAGCACAGAGGGTAATTTCTTTTTTTAATAGAACCTGACTTGGCTTTCTGAAATTTGTCTTTGAGGTAAGTAATACATTGATTAAAACAAAAATAAATCAAGCAAAAATGTGAAATGATTCCTGCAGCCCCTTTCAGGATCTGAGCTTCTTACCCATCATAGTGTAGCCCTTGTTTGGGAGGTGGGAGTCCTTGTCTGTAAGTCACATGAGGTCTTGGCCATGTCTATGTGTAGGATGGCAGTAGATTAATGTGCATGTCTGTGCACATGGGTATTAGGTAGAGCTTTGTGCCCATGATCAAGGTACAAATCAAGGGAGCTATTTTGGTAGGTTAATGCCAAGTAATGGGTGGATTAGATGAAGAGGGGTAGAACATTTGAAGGAGGGAAGTAAACTCCAGTTAATACCTAAGATATGAAACCTAAACTTGATCTACGATAAATAGAGTTCAGAATGTTATCTCCCCGGTCCTTTGTTGCCCTCCCTGATTGTAGGGATTCTAGCCACAGTCAGGCTGGTGAGGAGGACAAAGAAGGATCTACGGAGGGAGATGACGTTCCCTAGGGAGAACGAAAAACCGAGTGTTTCTCGGTAACAGCTGGAGGTGGGGGTGGGAAGACGTGCTCATCACCTGTTTACCCTGGGATTAATCTTTAGCTCCCAGCAGATAGTGAAGGGCTTGTCACAACACACCAGGATCTACTCCAGTGTCCACCACATGTGCACATCCTGGTTGCTGCCTGACTCTGACAAATTTTGAAATTAATGGGAGGAGGCAAAATGTCCTGTAAGCAGATCTGTTTGGGACCCTGACTAGTCCTCTAGCCCCCACTCAGTGTCATCCATGAAAATGTCCCAGGGCCAGCACCCCAGGGCAGCAGGCAGAGAGGCCACCTGGACAAGTTACATGCCCACTGAGCCCATGGTGGTTTTCCCCTAGCAGGTGACGGTTACTCTGGATGAGCTTCTAGTCCCTTCTGCTCTGACATTCTTTACAAGAACATGTGGTTGGTGAAGACATTGACTAACTCATGTTAACATTGACCAAACTTTAGCCTTTAGTTGTACCATGATTGAAACCTAACCAAAGTTTATCCTTAAAATACTGTGGGAAGTTGCTTTGGGGGATTTTTCTGACATGCCACAAAAGAAATTGTGGGTAAACACTTAAGCCAAGGTGATTTCCCAGTTGTTGGCTTGTAGTTATTGTGTCTGATTTCTTTGATTAAAAAAAAATTTTTAACATTTATTCATTTTTTGAGAGACAGAGAGAGGGAGGGACAGAGAGAGTCAGCTGCTTAACCAACAGCCACCCAGGAGCCCATCTTCAATTTTTAAAAAAAAAAAATTTAATGTTTATTCATTTTCGAGAGAGGGAGAGAGAGAGAGACGGAGACAGAGTGTGAGTAGGGGAGTCGCAGAGAGAGAGGGAGACACAATATCCGATGCAGGCTCCAGGCTCTGAGCTTTCAGCACAGAGCCTGATTCAGGGCTCGAACTATTAGATCATGGCGTGAGCTGAAGTTAGATTCTCAACTGACTAAGCCAACCAGGTGCCCCTGGTGGTTTCTTCAATTTTTAATTTGTTTTTTAGTATATTGGAATTTTGGAACTTAGGAGTCACAGCCAAGATTGTTACTTTTGGAGAATGACAATATTTTATTTTTTCTGTCAAGTTTAAGGAAAGAGAAATTGTACAGCCCAGAAGTTTTCACATATGGCCCTTCATTTTTCAGTCAACTTACTACATGGAGGGAAACCTCGGACACCCTGTGTTCCAGACTCAGTTCGGGAGGATTGCGGTGAACATTTGCTATGGGCGGCACCACCCTCTCAACTGGCTCATGTACAGCATCAATGGGGCTGAGATCATCTTCAACCCCTCAGCCACCATCGGATCACTCAGGTCTCTTAGTGGGCAGGTTCTGGGAGGGTTCTTGGGACCTAGCGACCTTGGGCCCACGGCCAGGCTGCAGGGTTCCGAGGTGGGCTTGGCACACTGTCTTGGGCAGGCGTGGCCACTAGGATGTCTCACAAATCTGAGCCATGGGATTGTGTGCTGTGTATTTACCCAATTTTTCTGTGGAAAAAAAAATTCAGTGTCAATTAAAATCTCCCCTAAAGAGCTGCTGTGCTATGAAATACTGTTCCTCTGCTGTTATTCTGAAAACTGAGGTGATAATAATTCCCCTCTACTTGCCCTATAATTGTCAGGATTCCAAAAAGCTCCTCTTATAAAGTGCCCAGAGCATTGTAGATGCCTGGCCCGCATTAGCTCCCTTCCTTGTCGTGGCCATCGTGCTCCCTGCTAGGGGGACTGAGGATACCTAAGACTCTTGTCTGTAGCATCCAACACATGGAGGTCAGACATCTGGATGAGAGAAGGAGCAAATGAGAGACTCAAAGCTGTGAGGGTCCTTAAGAGATCAGTTAAGTGGCTCCGAAACTTGGTTTTAACCAGAAAAAGTTTTTTTTTTTCTTGTAACACCTAACATGTTTTTAGATGTCAGTTGAATCCTGAAACAGATAATTCTATTCTGATCAAGGCCGTGGGGTGGACCCTGGCAGCCTTGGGCCCCTGTGCAAGACCTCTGGGGCACATTTAATAATGGCGGCCAAGCTAAGATGACCCAGCATGACTCCACTTCTGCTGCTTGTCTCTTCCCCAACAGCTGAGTATTTGGGTAGTTTCCAGTTCTGCATCATTAACAACTACCAGAGCTCTAGGAATTTATGTGCAAATATCTTTCTCCCCAACTCACTTCCTCCAAAGCAGGATTTCTGGATCAGGAGGTGCTAGCCTTCACTCTCTGTTGTCCGGGTTGCCAGTGCCCTAGCAGTAGGTGGCTGGGGGGACTGTCCCCGATCCTTCTTTGGGGAGCAGCTGGGGCACTTCTGGTGGGCAGCTTTGAGTTACCTGACAGCGTACCCCTGTCACTCCTCTCTTGACTAAATTTTAGTCGAATTTCTTCTTAAGGTCAGAATGTGATACTCACTTTACCTTTTATTTTAAACATGATGCTCTCTTCTCAAGAGCGGCATCCTTATAGCACTCCAGTTTTCACAGCAGGCCCCTCAGGGAGGCAGAGTGCAAACCTAGTTGACTCCCTCAAGTCAGCTGCCCCATCAGTGCACCTGAAGTTTCTGTCTGTGTCCAGAAGGGGCACTGTTGGTCAGAAGAAGAAAATCTTGGATGTCCCCTGTAGGATCTCTCTGGGGCCTCATGGCAGCTTGGTTACTATGACAGAGTCCAAAGACAGTTGTGACACAGGGTAAACTACTGGTCAGCCAGCATCTGCACCTGGGCAGAACATGTGGGCCGTCCCCCTGTAGCAGCCCCCTCCTGCCAGCAAGCATCATCTACCTAAGGGGTCCCTTGAGGAATCTGAAGCCAATTTGCTGAGCATCAGTGCCTGAACTGGCTCTTGGGCCAGGGCAGGCAAAGCTGTGGCCTCAGACTCAGATGGCCAGCTCCCTGACCTTACTCTGTCGAGCTTTTATTAGCCCCAATTAAGCAAACAGAAGCACCCCAATGTAATATGCACATAACTGCTTATGTCTCCAGCAGTCTACTAGACTTATTAAAAATTATTGATTTTCCTTCCTCAACCAACAGTCATCCAACTCGTGTCTTTCAAGGATATGGTGAGGCTGACAGTTAAAACCTAACAGGTCCTTTGGAAAGCAGTAGGTTTCATGAGCTCCTAAAATGTTCACACCTTTGACCGGATAATAGGCCTAGAACTTTAACTGACGGAATATCTAAAAGAGGAGGAAAAGACTATATGCATGAAGGTGTTTCTGGCAGCTTTATATATAACAATGAAAAAGCTAGAGGTGAGAGAAATGCCAGAGTTAGGAAAATTTCGGCCCATCTCTTCCATGTTGTTGCATAGTCACTAAAAAGTCATTATGAAGATAATGCAGCATCATGACAAAAGCCTGTGAGCAAAGAAAGATGTTTCCAGGGTATGGTCAGAACTCTGTAAACCTCTTTTGCCAAGGATGGGTGTAGAGTGTGGAAAAATTACAACAGACGGTTTATAAGGACGGTGGGATTCTGGGTGATTTTCTTAAAATGATAAATGAGTATTTATGGAGTTGATGGTGAGTGTTTTTCAGCACCAGGCTGGGCAAATTCCCACCAGCTGCACACAAGTAATGGCTTCTGGAGCCATCCATCCCTTTACGGGCATGTCCCCCCTCCCATACACACATGCTCTATGGATTGGTGGGGCATCCTCACGTATTTTAGGGTCCCGTGGTTGTAAGCACACAATAGACTTGAAGTGTTTTTTGATGACCTGAGTCATCGTGACAGTGCCATACAGCCCATGTGGTCATGTACGTACGTGTGTCGGTAGGAGAGTCGCAGTTCCGTCTCTTCGATGCATGTATTCTTCACACTGTGATTATTTTTAGGAGCTAGCATAGCCACACTGGGAATAAGGCAGATGTCCCCATAACCCATTCGGGCTCTCCATGATTCCTGCACACGCTGGGTTCTCACAAACCTCCAGCTTCCTTTCCATTGCTTGCTTTGAGAGCCAAAGTTTTATTGCCAGCTGTGGGTTTGAGTCCTACGCAGCGCACCCTCCCAGGAGAATTACAAGAAAGATGTTTTATGGCACTCACCCTGCAACTGTCTATTTAATTCCTGAAAATGTCATTTACGGGTGTGTTTCTATAAAAATCCTTTCTTAAAAGTTTTGTCAGCTTAGCTTAGCAGCTGGGGGGAGAAAAAGCAGCAAAATGAGTCCCCTCAATCAAGCCTGTGATTTTTTTTTTTTTTCCAGACTCGTGAATCCTCCTGAGAATTAGGCTTGTGACAAGCACCCACTCCCTCCACCTACTCCCAGTTTAAACCAGGTGCATGCTGACAGGAAGAAAGATTCCAGGGCATTTTGCTCTCAGTCACTCAGTGTTTCTAAGTGGGCATTACACCTGTCAATCGAGAATCTTAATGATGTTGTTCCTCAGATAACAGATCGTTAGTGACAAGAAGGCCCACTGGATTCCATGGCATGTTAGTGGTGGGCTGGAGAACAGGGTCTTCAGTTGAGGCAAGTTTCCCCACCATGTCCTCCTTTGTGGGCACCGGACTGAAGAAGGCCCACAGCTTGGCTGTACCTGTGCAGTGCCTCCTTCCTAGGCCAGTAAGAGAACCAAGGAGCCCCTGCTTAGAGCCTTAGGGTTCAGAAAAGGAAAATAGGAAGATACTAGAAAATGCAGATGGACACAGGGGAGGTGACATCTGCTACAGAATCTACCCCTTCCAGTTACCCAGATGCCTTACAGGTTTACTCTGCCTGGTCTGAAGTACCATCGCTCTAAAGACTGCTTTGCAAGGCAACAGAGCAGGGTAGGGATTAGTGCAGCAGTTTGAGCCTTCATAGGGCCATGAATAAGCCCCTAGGCCCCTGGCTCCCTTCTTACATTTGCCAGGTGAGGCTCTGCCCAGTGCAGAATGTGAGTTCCTCACCCGACACAGGAGGAGAGAAAGAGAGAGAACTAGCAGTTACAGAGCTTCTGCCACATAGCCCCCTCCAGAAGCTTTGCCTGTGTGGTCAGTCTTTACAATACCCCTTTAAGGAAGTTTCAGAAAAGGAAACTGAGGCTTAGGGCTGCTTTGTCCTGCAGCAGGCCCTCCCCAAAAGGCTGCTTGGGCTTGAGCATGGGACAAGCTGGCCTGCTTGTGGGTTTGGGGTCACCCACAGCCACAACCAGCCTCCCCGACCATCCCCACTGCAGACCTGAGAAGGCTTGGAAGTCAACCACGTGGTTCCTCTTGTTTTTGTCTCACAGTGAGTCCCTGTGGCCAGTTGAGGCCAGAAATGCAGCCATTGCAAATCACTGCTTTACCTGCGCTATCAACCGCGTGGGCCAGGTAAGTCCCTGATGTCTGAGTGGGCTCCTGGGTTTGTTCAACCAGGTGTGCTGGGGAGGGGACAGAGCGATAAGTTGCTAGGAAAGCTACCTGCCAAGAGGAGACCTGGCCTCTTTGACCAGCAGAGTCCATAAGGGGAAGCAACTGTCTGCTGGCCCTGGTGGGGACATGTCACACTTCTTCTCCCTGTTCCCTCCATGTGCAAGCCACAAATCCTAGGGTCCTGGAAGGGGTAGACTGGCTTGGTCTATTACTTTTAAAGATATTCCCCTGTCCTTCTTCTGTTTTTGTCTGTTTTGGGTTTTAGCTGAAACTGTTTTGAATGGCTGTCACCCTGTCCCCACCAAGTATCCAGTTTCGTGTTTTTCCCCATTGACCCCATGCACTGAACGATCCTGACTGCAAAAACACAATGCGTTCATTACATAATAATCCTCTTCCTCATTCTTATTAATCAGATGCCAAAATCTAATCAGAGCATCTGCTCAGCCTGAGATAACCAAAGTTTCTACAGTAGGTCAGTCTAATTTTTGGCAACATGAAAAAACTCAGTGTTTTTGGCTAAAATGAGCAAATCAGAGAACTCGAGATGCTGGCGAGGATGTGGAGAAACGGGCACCCTCCTGCACTGTTGGTGGGAATGTAAACTGGTACAGCCCCTCTGGAAAACAGTGTGGAGGTTCCTCAGGAAACTAACAATAGAACTCCCTTATGACCCAGCAATAGCACTGCTAGGAATTTACCCAAGGGATACAGAAATGCTGAGGCATAGGAGCACATGGACCCCAATGTTCATAGCAGCACTCTCCACAATAGCTAAAACATGGAAAGAGCCTAAGTGTCCATCAACAGATGAATGGATCAAGAAGATGTGGTTTATCTATACCATGGAATACTACATGGCAATGAGAAACAATGAAATCTGGCCATGTGTAGCAACATGGATGGACCTTGAGGGTGTTATGCTGAGCGAAGTAAGTCAGGCAGAGAAGGACAAATACCATATGTTTGCACGTATAGGAGGATTAGGAGGAACTTGACGGAGGAACAAGCGGGAGAAGAAGGGCGGAAATGGTGGGGGAAAGGGAGAGAGGCAAACCATGAGAGACTCTTGAATGCTGACAAAAACTGAGGACTGATGGATGTGGGGGGGAGGGGGGGATGGGCATGAAGGAGGGCACTTTGGGGATGAGCACTGAGTGTTATGTAGAAACTAATTTGACAATAAACTATTTGTAAAAAAAAAAAAAAAAAAAAAAAAGAAAAAACTCAGTGTTTTAATTAGCCTGTGTAACCCCATCATGGCTTGATATGCAGTTTCCATGAGGCTTTGGGGGAAGATATTTAAAACCATGTGTGAACATTCCTTTACTCCTTTCACAGACCCCAGGATGGGGCTTTATTTCTCAGGCAGACAAATCTCAGATGCCTTCCACAATCCTGAGAGCCACTCTGCACAACATCTTTTATTTTTTTTTATTTTTTTTTTCCTCCCAGAAGACTATAAAGTCCACAGAGACAAAGTCCGAGTTTTTACCTTGCCTGTCAAATTCCCCGCTGGCCGCCTGTGTTGGCCCAGTGCTGGCTACTTAGCAGGGACATTTAATAAGTACTTGTTGATTGCCCAGTGAGTACAGGCTATACTGTCTCCTGTGAACTGTGTCTTCATGAAACACCTCCTCAGCCCAACTTTGCAGTGGATGCGGTGGTAGTGCCACCTATAGGTTTACCTTACCTTGGTTTTATTTCACAGGAGCACTTCCCAAATGAGTTTACCTCTGGAGATGGGAAGAAAGGTATGTTCTATAAATTTCCATGGTGACTGCAATTGAGGGGTGGGCCTCGCTGTCTCATTCTTCATCTGCCACAGGGTCTGCACCACAGATCTTGTCTACCCATGTGGCATATAGTTGGAGGTGTGCACTGCCCTCATCTTTATAGCCCACAGTGTGGGAGCCGGACCATGGCTAGGTTTGGATAGGTAGTCCTGGGCTCGTGACCACCTCATTCCCCAGATGGGAATTGAATGGCATTGGATTGGACACTATCCCTCCTCCGGGACTGTTATAAGATGGGCCTAGAAGATATGGGGGAGCCCTTTGTGAGCTCCCTGAAAGAGGGGGTGCCTTATCTACCCTACACATCTCCTTCCCTCTCTTCCTTTGTCCTTGTTCATCTGCCACCAGTCCCACCCCAAGCTGCACAGATGCCCCAGAATATCGACATGGATCGTCTTGGATTCCTAGAATCCACAGCTTGTTTTGATCTGAAGGCAGGTACCACCTCACCTCTACTAGGAGCCCCCCCACCCACTGGTCCCACCTCTCTGGCTGGAAATGTGGGAGGGAAGGGCCCACCAAGGAGGAACTAGCTTAGGGTATCCCTTGATAAGGCAGAGAGGACTGAGCAGGTCTGTTTCCCAGAAAAGTACTTACTTAAAGGGTTCCAGATCCCCTCACTTGAGGCCCCAGACTTCCAGAGTCTTCAATCCCAGTTAGCTCTCTACAGTCAGAGGCACAGAAGAGGCAGGGAAATGAGGTCTGCTGGGCATCTTCTGTGTCCAAGCCCCTGCTAGGCCCTGCACTGTGCCCACCTGCTTCTTACATGCCTGTGGGGTGGCTGTTAGCCCCACTTTACTTGTGAGGGGACTGAGGCATGGAAGGAGGTGGGTACAATAGACACAGCTGGCAAGGCAAGTGATGGCAGAACTTCAGCTCACCGTGTTGGGCCACCACAGGAAGCAGGTCACACAGGGAGCCCTACAGAGCCATGTGATTTCTTTGGGCTGTGGGTGGCTAATGTTGGGAGTAAGGGCTAATACTAAATACTAATTCTAAAGGGTGACCTTTAAGAATGTTCCCAGGGGCAGAGGTGAGGGCTGTGAAGGTGACTTGCAGAAACTTCCTTGGCCTCAGGCCTGAGGAGAGAGCCAGGTCCCTGGAGCCTCAGCATTTAGCAGATGCTGGGGAGGGTGGCACCGATCCTTTGCCCGGGATATCACTCAATGTGCCTACCTCTGCAGAATCCACCATGTGCCTGCACAAGCTCACAGGTTCTTTCTTTTGCTCCCTCAAAGCTCACCAGGACTTCGGCTACTTTTATGGCTCAAGCTACGTGGCAGCCCCTGACAGCAGCCGCACCCCCGGGCTCTCCCGCAACCGGGATGGGCTGCTGGTTGCGGAGCTCGACCTGAACCTCTGCCGGCAGGTGAATGACATCTGGAATTTCAAGGTGGGTCCCTGAGTTCCCTGATCTTGCTCTGCTCCTCTGCTTAGACTCCCATCCTGCTCTCAGGGCTAGAAACCACAGCTGCTGGGTTTGCTCTCTGGAACAGCCAGATGAGGCCCCAAGCTGAGTGGAGGGCCAGGTCTCTTCCTCCCAGAGCTGGTGTATGAGGGAGGAACTACTGCATCAAATAAGGCCCAGGCAGCAGACCCTAATAAATTCTCCTCTTGTCTGATTTAGACTCTGGGCGCCTTCAAACAAATTAATCTCAATTTCATTTGTCCAGAGAATAGAGTGGATTGGCCTCTCTAATCCTTTTTTTCCTCTCCAGGCATTTGTACTTATCACAAGATAAATGTGGGTGTCTGGCTCTGCCTGTGGCCTGGCCCCACAGTCTAGGCCTTGATGGTAGAGGGAAATGGGTCATGAAAGAAATGGCAACTGTGCCCTCCTACCTCCACCCCTTCCCAGTCACCTTAAGCAAGTCCTTTCTGCTCCTGGGCCTTAGTATGCTCATTTGTAAAACAGAAGGCTTTACTGCAAGGTCTCAAGTAGCATTTGAGACCTAACATGCCTGACACCAGGAGTTATGGGAAGAGTATAAATGCCTGCCCTCCTGGAATGAGGAGCCATTCCATGGCAGCAATGGCCCAGGACCAGGGCCTCCCTGGAATACACCATCTCTTTCCAGATGCAAATGGAATTTGCTACATAAGTGTCCAGTAGTATTTCTACCAACTCAGAACCCATGCCAATGAATACATGCAAATGAATGTCCTCACAATCGAATGACTTTGCCCAGCTTATGTGGGAGGAACCAGCTCCCCACCATTTACCTGAGTGTGGGCCCTTGCGCATGTTCACCTCAGTTTCAGATCCCCATCAGACAAGCAAGGCATTGCCCACATAAAAGTCTCCTCTTTCCTGGGAAGGTCTTTCCTCTTCCTGGGAAGCTCAGATTAATGCTGGATTCCACACAATAAACAGAATGTTTTCTCATTAGTAACTTTTTAAATGCAAAAGCCCTCCCAAACTATGGTGATGGCTTTGGGGAGGAGAGAGGGAGGGTTTGCTGGGTAGGTTCTCTAGCCCTGCCACCACTCTCTCCCAGACCCAGAGCTAGGAGTCTAGTGTGCAAATCCTGCAAACTTCACTGCTGCCCAGGGACCTGGAGCAAGTCACTCCCCTCTCTGGCCTGTGGGCTGTTCTTCTGGGGTTCTGTAAGACTGCAAGACAGCCCTCTAGCCTTCTGCCTTGGGGCAGGCCACACCTTCCGGATGGACAGATCACAGAGGTCTTCCAGCAGGACGGGCTGGTGTGTGTGAGTACTTTCGGCATCTATCATCTTTGTTATAGCACCGGAATCAGTGCCGAGAGGTCACACAGGGGTTTTTTCTCTGTGTTATGTTACATAGTCTGAAACTATCCCCTCTACTGGCCTTCCAGACAAATTTCTGTCCCATGGCTGCCCTCTAGTGGCTAGAGGTGGTGGTGAGTAAATGAGGGGCATTTATAAAACTGGAATTTCTGCCTGTGTTCTGCTTTCAGATGACCGGCAGATATGAGATGTACGCTCGGGAGCTTGCCGAAGCCATCAAACCTAACTACAGCCCCAATATTGTGAAAGAGTAGCTGGATGTTAGCCCCTGCCTACCAAGGAGGACACCTCTGCCCCTAGCAGATCATCAAGTACAGTAGGCTTTTATACTTCCAAGTTCTCCCTGATGATGCCCTGATAACATTGCTGTCCAGATGGGTTTAAAAATGCCCAGGCAGGGAGGGTAGATTGAAGAGTGACTGCTTAATGAGTATGAGGCTTCCTTCCTGGGTGATGAAATGTTTTGGGGCTACACAGAGGTGATGGTTACACAACATCATGAGTGTACTAAATGCCACTGAATTGTATACTTTAAAATGATTAATTCTGTGTTATATGAATTTAACCTAATTTGAAAAAATCCCAGGCATTGATTGTGCAGGTTGATTTGCAGTTAGACACATGGGATACCCTAGTCCTAAGGTTCGTCATTTCCTCTGTTTAGACTGCTGGCAACCTGAGGGTCAAAGTGGGAGTTTATGTCCAAGTGAGAGAAGCCGAGGCTGATTCAGAGTTCTTGAGCTACTGGGTGGCTGTGGGCAGTCATTAGATGTGTCTACTTGGCCAGGCTGCTGTCTCCAGTTATTCAATCAGACACTAATCTGGTGTTGCTGTGAAGGTATCTTGTTGATGTGATTAAAGTCTATAACCAGTTAACTAAGCAAGTGAGATTATCCTAAATAATCCTGATAGGACTGATTCAGTCAGTCAGAAGGCCTTCAGAGGAGAGCTGAGGCTTCTCCGATGAAAAAGAAATTTCTGCCTGTGGACAGCAGCTCCCCCTCCCCCCCTCCCCAGGCCTGTTTGAGTACTTCCTGACAGCCTGCCTTACAGATTTCAGACTTGTCTGTCCAGCCCCCACAATCACGAACTCAAAGCTTTGCAATAAATATCTTTCAATATATATGCTACTATTTCTGCCTCTCTGGTTGGACCCTTACTGATATAAATTCTGGTATCAAAAGTGCTTCTAGAGAAACAGAATCTTCAGGACGAGTTTTCAGCATCGGTGCTAGGTTTCCTGGAATTCTTCTCTAATTTGGTTTATTTAAAGGCACTAATGACTCTATTTCCAATGGTAAAGAGGGCAATGGTTAGTCCATGGTGTGATGTAGCAATAGAGATTTATAGAAAGAGCAGGACATCAGTCTGCACCCAAGAGTCCCAGCCTGCCATTCCTAGTAACCTGTCCCATATGTGGATTTTAGGCTTGGCTAACCAGCCGCCATCAATTGCAAGTAGAAGGCAATTCCTTGCACTAAATGTCTTTATATGCATACATGCATATACATATAAATATATGTATACATATATATATACATATATATATATATATATCTGTATCCCCTGCTGATTCTTCATCTCTGATTGAGCACTGACTGCCTGACTTAAGTAGCAGATTTCTCACTTCTCTGCACGTTGGGTCCCACATCTGTGGGACCATATCCCCTCTCCTGCTTTATGTGACAGGAGAGTGGTGAGAGAAAGTCTAGATGGGTCAGGGAGCCTAGGTGGGCTCTGTTCCTTGTACCACATAGCAAGCGTCCCACCTGTGAGGTCTCAAACCTCCATAGCCAGCTACAGTGTTGGAGGTGGGAGTGGGGTCCTCTGGTTGTACCCTTACTGTGCCCAATCAGAGAAGGTAGCCTCATTCCTTCCCTGGCCCAGCAGCTGAATTGCATGAACTAACCCCATGTCAGGGCTGGAGTCCTTCTGGACAGCCACATGGGGTGAGAAAACCGCTTGCAACTGCCTGGCCATACCTCTGTGTTAACCCCCTTAACCTCTCTGAGCTGCAGGCTTTTCACCTCACATAAAAGCCCCCTTTGTATTTACTTTTCCATAGAATCTGGCCCTGCGGATACAATGAGCTTTTATGTCTGGTCTTCAGTGTCTAGAAACGTTGTGCCTGTGATTTCTAAAAGCAGTCAACCTAATACATAAGCCAGCTTAGATGACAAGTTGGTGTGTGGATGAAATAGGCACTAATACACCAGAAAGGATTTGATTATCCACACCTCTCATTGCCTAGAATCAAAATATTCAAGCCTGCCTTAGAGTAGATGGGCCCTGCATACATGGAGTCATTTGAGGGTTTAACTCATGCCTGGAACGTGTAGATACTCAACAAACGTTTGTTGGCTGAACCTAGGGTAGGTTTTGTTTCCATGTGATCATTGCTGATGCCACAGGAGAGAAGTTGCAATGGTGCAGTGTACAGGGCCTGCGGTAGATGGGTGAAGCCGTCTGACCCTCTGAGCCTTGGTTTTCTCACCTCTAAGATGAGAGGTGACAGGGCTTACGGCTTTCTGGGGCCTCCCTAGCTCTTCAGACAGCATTCCTATAAGCTCATGGCTTTATTGCTAGAATCTGGGGTAACAGGGGAGAGTGGCTTCAAGACACAGTGTGTCCTACAGGAAAAAAGGTGAAGACATTCTCTAGGATAGACCACATGTTAGGCCACAAAACAAGTCATAATAAATCATATAAAGTATCTTTTTCAATCACAGTGGAATTAAACTAGAAATAAGTAGCAGAAGGAAAATTCAAAAATATGTGAAAATTAAACCACACATTCTTGAACACCCAATGGATCAAAAAAATCACAAAGGAAATTAGGAAATGTTTTGAAACAAGTGAAAACAAAACCAAAACATACCAAAACTTATAGTACGCAATAAAAGCAGGGCTAGAGGGAAATTTATAGCTGTAAGCACTTATATTTAAAAAAGAAGGGGAGCGCCTGGCTGGCTCAAGTCCGTAGAGCATGCAACTCTTGATCTCAGGGTTGTGAATTCAAGCACCACGTTGGGCATAGAGTTTACTTAAAAAATAAATAAATTAATTAAATAAATAAAATAGGGCCACCTGGGTCACTCAGTTGGTTAAGTGTCTGATTCTTAATTACAGCTCAGGTCATGATCTCACAGTTTGTGAGTTCGAGCCCCACGTTGAGCTTTGTGCTGATGGTGTGGAGCCTGTTTGGAATTCTCTCTCTCTCACTCTGTCTCTCCCTCTTTCGCCCTCTCTCTCTCTCTCAAAATAAATAAACTTAAAATTTTTAAAACAAAAATTGAGAAGGATTTCAAATCAACTACCAAATTTTATATCTTAAGGAACTAGAAAAAGAAGAGCAAACTAAACCCAAGGTAACCGTAAAGAAGAAATACTTAAGATTAGAGCAGAGAGAAATAAAATAGAGACTAGAAAAACAATAGAGACTATCAATGAAGCCAAAGGTTGATTTTTTTTAAAGAATCAACAAAATTGGGGCACCTGGGAGGCTCAGTCAGTTGAGCAGCTGACTTTGGCTCAAGTCATGATCTAATGGTTGCGGGTTCAAACCCCACGTTGGGCTCTGTGCTGACAGCTCAGAGCCTGGAGCCTGCCTCAGATTCTGTGTTTCCGTCTCTGTCCCTTCCCCACTCGTGCTCTGTCTCTCTCTGTCTCGCAAAAAAGAAATAAATGTAAAAAAAAACCTTTTTAAAAATGATCAACAAAATTGACAAAGCCTTAGCTTGACTGACTAAGAAAAAAAAAGATTCAAATTACTAACCTCAGAAATGAAAGTGGGGGGGGGCGCCTGGGTGGCTTAGTCAGTTAAGCATCTGACTTTCACTTAGGTCATGATCTCGTGGTTCGTGGGTTCGAGCCCCGTGTCAGGCTCTGTGCTGACTGCCAGCTCAGAGCCTGGAGTCTATTTCGGAGTCTGTATCTCCCTCTCTCTCTGACCCTCCCCTGCTCATGCTGTCTCTCTCTCCTAGAAATAAATTAAAAAAATATATTAAAAAAAAAATAAATGAAAGTGGGGATATTACTACTGATTGTACAGAAATAAAAAGCATCATAAGAGAGTACTATGAACAGTGTGTTATAGGAGGTCATCAAGAGCATGTGATTGCTGGTTGACCCATGAGCTGGACCCCCTTCCCCTCCTCTTCCTCCCTTCCTTGGAATATACGTTCTGCCCACTCTTACAACACTAGGAGCTACTTCAAGGACACAGCTTGAGAGAGTAATATTTTTTTTCTAGTCAATTGACAAATATAAAAATTCTAACATTGTAAAAGAACTAATTATGACCGACAGAGACAAAGATGAACAAGATGGGCAAGATACCTATTCTTATGGAGCTTGCTTTCTTTCTTTTTTTTTTTTTTTTTTTTTGAGTCATGCATTATTTGGGGGGGGTTGAATGTTTAATTTTTTTTAATATATTTATTTAATTAGTTAATTTTTAAATTTACATCCAAATTAGTTAGCATATAGCACAATAATGATTTCAGGAGTAGAGTCTAGTGATTTATACCCTACATAGAACAGTCAGTGCTCATCCCAACAAGTGTCCTTCTTAATGTCCATCACCCATTTAACCCATCCCCCCACCCTCCCTTCCAGCAATGCTCAGTTTGTTCTCTATATTTAAGAGTCTCTTACATTTTGTCCCCCTCCCTGTTTTTACATTATTTTTGCTTCCCTTTCCTTATGTTCATCTGTTTTGTATCTTAAATCCCACATATGAGTGAAGTCATATGGTATTTGTATTTCTCTGACTAACTTTGCTTAGCATAATACATTCTAGTTCCATCCACGCTGTTGCAAATGGCAAGATTCATTTTTTTTTATTGTTGAGTATTATTCCATTGTATATATACACCATCTCTTCTTTACCCATTCATCAGTCAATGGACATTTAGGATCTTTCCATACTTTGGTCAGTAGCACTGCTATAAACATTGGGGTGCATGAGCCCCTTCAAAACAACATACCTGTCTCTGTATCTTTGGATAAATACTACTAGTGCAATTGCTGGAGCATAGGATAGTTCTATGTTTCATTTTTTGAGGAAACCCCGTACTATTTTCCAGAGTGGCTGCACCTGTTTGCATTCCCACCAGCAGTTCAAAAGTGTTCCTCTTTCTCTGCATCCTCATCAACATCTATTGTTGACTGAGTTGTTAATTTTCGCCATTCTGACAGGTGTGAAATGGTATCTCATTGTGGTTTTGATTTGTATTTCTCTGATGATGAGAGATGTTGGGCATTTTTTTCATGTGTCTGTTAGCCATCTGCATGTCTTCTTTGGAAAAGTGTCTATTCATGTCTTTTGCCCATGTCTTCACTGGATTACTTGTTTTTTGAGTGTTGAGTTTGATAAGTTCTTTATAGATTTTTGGATCCTAACCCTTTATCTGGTTTGTCGTTTGTAAATTTCTTCTCCCATTCTGTCGGTTGCCTTTTAGTTTTGCTGATTGTTTCCCTCACTGTGCAGAAGCTTTTCATCCTGATGAGGTCCCAGTAGTTCACTTTTGGTTTTGTTTTCCTTGCCTCCAGAGATGTGTTGAGTAAGAAGTTGCTGTGGCCAAGGTCAAAGATGTTTTTGCCTGGTTTCTCCTCTAGGATTTTGATGGCTTCCTGTCTTATGTTTAGGTCTTTCATCCATTTTGAGTTTATTTTTGAGGATGGTGTAAGAAAATGGTCCAGGTTCATTCTTCTCCATGTCGCTGTCCACTTTTCCCAACACCATTTGCTGAAGAAGCTGTCTTTTTTCCATTGGATGTTCTTTCCTACTTTGTCAAATATTAGTTGGTCATGTGTTTGTGGGTCCATTTCTGGGTTCTCTATTCTGTTCCTTTGATCTGTGGCTCTGTTTTTGTGCCAGTACCACATTGTCTGGATGACTACAGTTTTATAATACATCTTGAAGTCCAGAATTGTAATGTCCTGCTTTGGTTTTCTTTTTCAAGATTGCTTTGGGTATTCGGGATCTTTTCTGGTTCCATACAAATTTTAGGATTATTTGTTCTAGCTCTGTAAAGAATGCCGGTGTTATTCTGATAGAGATTTATTGAATGTGTAGATTGGTTTGGGTAATATCAACATTTTAACAATATTTGTTCTTCCAATCCATGAG